TTATTTTTTTGACATATCAGTGCGGAAAAAGTTTTTCCGCACGGCTGTCAGTGCGGAAATAGTTATTTTCCTAACAAGTGCGCAAAGTGGTACTTTTCCGCACGCAAACACAGTTATACGAACGACGCGAAGCGGAGTTCGGATACGTGTTTGCGTGCGGAAAAGACACTTTGCGCACGTGTTAGGAACAAAATTTTTCCTACGAGCTTCATATCAGGTAGGTAATAACAAAATTTTTTAAAAAAAAAACGATAATTTGTTTAATTATTTTTAATTAACTTGAAGGGAACCTATGCATTTATCAAAAAATTACATAACAAAAAAAAATAACAGAAAATCCTCGTCAGAGCTGTTCATCTTAAAGCGTTTAAATTTGATGAGAAAGTTTGTAGATTTTTGCATATAAATATCAATTCAATCAATCAATTCTTTATTGTTTAAAAAGAATATACATTCTTATAACAGTAGGTTCTGCACAATAATAAACTTAATCTAAGTAATGCTACATTTCTCATACTTATAAGCTACACGTTTAAATATGTAAACCCAAATTTGAAATTGAAAAAGAACAAAAAATAATACTCTATAATAATTCAGGTACGAGGAGAATAGGAAGATAAAATTAAAATCTAAAGAATAGGTCTATTCATTTCTTAAGAACGATCTAAGTTTAAGAATACTAGTAACGGTTTGGAAAATAACCCTCACCAGTTGAGGGTTTAGATTGTCCAAATTATGAGCAAAGTTCGGTATATCACCCCAATCTGCCGGCCTAACACTACGATATAAAGGACATTCAAAGAGAACGTGAAGAAATGTTTCAGGCACTCTTAGGTTACAAACCGAACAGAGTTCTTCTTGATTAATTCTATAAGCTATGCCATTCCAGAATATATTGCAGTTATAACTCGAACAAAGTCGTATTTGTGTAATAACTCTGATCATGTAAAAAGCACAGTCAGAATAAAGGTACTTCAACGAATGCTTATTTAAATCAAATTGACTATAAAACAAAGTATACGTAGAATTTCGTGCCACTCGATAGTCGGTCTGCAAACATCTTTCACGAAAATGTTTTAATATCTCTGGTTTACTACGTTTTAAAGAAATGTTATTTAAAGACCACAAGTGGGTTATTCCGATTTCTTGAAACCATCTGTAAAAGTTGTAAGCCCAATTAAACTTAGGGATACATATAGAGAACAAATCTGACAATGTGTCAAAGTTAATTTATATTTGGTGTTTGTATAGATGTTGGCTGATATAGAAACAGAGAAAAAATTTGACATCATGTGTCGAAGTCGACAGGTACACTTATTGTTGCTTGACAATTGTAATTACTTTTCGGCACTCAGTGCGGATAAGGCCTGTATCCGCACTGAGTGCGGAAAAGTGTAACTTTGAGCCCGGAAATGCGTGCGGAAAAGTACTACTTTGCGCACGCTCGTAGGAAAAAAAATTTTCCTACGAGCGTGCGCAAAGTAGTACTTTTCCGCACGCATTTCGGTTCTCAAAGTTGCACTTTTCCGCACTCAGTGCGGATACAGGCCTTATCCGCACTGAGTGCCGAAAAGTAAAAATAATTGTCAAGCAACAATAAGTACACCTGTCGACTTTGACACATGATGACAAATTTTTCCTCTGTTCCTGTTCCAGCTAACATCTATACCTACAAACACCAAATTTAATTAACTTCAACACATTGTCAGATTTGTTTTCTATATATATGCATCTACAAACTATCTCATCAAATTTATAGCATTTTCCATTTGTCGAAACAGGGCAAAAAAATGTATCCTTATCCTTACATGTTACATGCTTTTAGAAAAAGATGCGGATGCACTCAGTGCGGCACTGATGACAAATGGAAATCGCCATTAAACGCTTTAAGATGAAGAGCTCTGACGATGATTTTCTGTTATATTTTTTTTTTGTTATGTAATTTTTTGATAAATGCATAGGTTCCCTTCAAGTTAATTAAAAATAATTAAACAAATTATCGTTTTTTTTTTAAATTTTTGTTGTTACCTACCTGATATGAAGCTCGTAGGAAAAATTTTGTTCCTAACACGTGCGCAAAGTGTCTTTTCCGCACGCAAACACGTATCCGAACTCCGCTTCGCGTCGTTCGTATAACTGTGTTTGCGTGCGGAAAAGTAACACTTTGCGCACTTGTTAGGAAAATAACTATTTCCTACGAGCGTGCGCAAAGTAGTACTTGTCCGCACGCATTTCCGTTCTCAAAGTTACACTATTCCGCACTCAGTGCGGATACGGGCCTTATCCGCACTGAGTGCCGAAAAGTCAAAATAATTGTCAAGCAACAATAAGTGCACCTGTCGACTTTGACACATGATGACAAATTTTTCCTCTGTTTCTATATCAGCCAACATCTATACAAACACTGAATATAATTAACTTTGACACATTGTCAGATTTGTGTTCTCCATTCACATGCAAGAATCTACAAACTTCTTTCCCATCAAATTTAAACGCTTTAACCCTTTCGCTCACTGTGTACACATTTGTGTACATCAATTTCTAAGGACCCCTATATAGATTCAGAAAGGATTTCGGCTATTTGTTCATGTTGTCCACATTTGTGTACGTCATATTATTAAAATAAATTACTAGTGCTTCCATCTAGGGGTTTTTCATGGAAATTTTTTTCTGGTATTTCAACAGCTGACATACATAAATTGAGCACCGCCTACAACATATTTTCCTGGATTTTTCTGGCAGTTTTTTTGTGGTAGAAAAAGTTTGAATAAAATAAAAATAAACTTATAAAAGGTGGTTTTATGAGTGCAAATAGCGACATTCACGGTTTTTTGTTTGGAAGTATTTTGTTTTTGTCCTTAGGGCCACGTACACATTTGTGTATACTGAGAGTGAGTGGAATAAAATAACAAGGTAAACTTGATCTCACTTTTTTCCCAATTATATTGGTAGACAGTTAAATATTATAGAATCCTGGTTCATAATGAGTCGAAATCGCCCGCTAACAGATAATCTGCTATAGAATTGATAGAGACCGGATTATCAGACGTTGAAGGACTCAGCAACGGTGAATTGAATGAAGATGATGGCTTTCAGAGAAATTCTGATGCTGAAGGTATACTACTTGTCGCTAATGTTTATTAGATATTGTGTGTAACATAACACATATTTCTACCTCGCAGAATTACCGGAAGTGCTAATGATTGATGAGGAGGAAGAAGTGGAAGAAGTTGAAGAAGCTGAACAGCTGGAACAACTTGGAGCTGAACCTGAACCTGAAGAGGTTGAACAGCTGGAACAACCCGGAGGATGTAAAGGAAGATCTAGATTTTTGTGTCCAAAATGTAATGTTCACCTCTCTCACAAAAAAGAGCAACTGTTTTTCAATATATCATACAAAATAATTGTTTTGTTTAGTCTATCTTTTATACCATTGACTTCCAATGTCCACAAATGTGTACATTCAAAAACAAAAAATTGGCCCACCATACGGAAAAAAAAATTATTCCATAAATTCATAAAAAAATCAGAGAGTTGATATACAAAAAACCAATTTTTTTGTTTTGAAAAATAAAAATTCATGAGCGAAAGGGTTAAGATGAACAGCTCTGACCAGGGGCCTATTTCATAAAAATGAAGAGTTGAAGAGTTGAGGAGTGAGGAGCGACATAATGTTACATTTCATTTCATAAAAGTTTTGAAGAGTTGAGGAGTAGACGCAAATTTATTTTAAAACAAAAACTACATTTACTTTTCACTCCTCAAACTCTTCACTCTTCACTCGTCGCTCATCAACTCTTCATTTTTATGAAACAGGCACCTGGATTTCAATTTCCTGTTTTTTTGTTATGTAATTTTTTGATGAATGAATAGGTTCGCTACAGGTTAATTGAAAATAACAAAATATCGTTTTTTTTTTAATTTTTGTTGTTAACTACCTGATATGCGGCTCGTAGGAAACATTTTGTTCCTAACACGTGCGCAAAGTGTCTTTTCCGCACGCAAACACTCATCCGAACTCCGCTTCGCGTCGTTCGTATAACTGTGTTTGCGTGCGGAAAAGTAACACTTTGCGCACTTGTTAGGAAAATAACTATACCGCACTGATATGTCGCCTGTAGGAAAAATATTGTACCTAACACTTGCGGAAAATATTTTTCCGCACTTGTTAGGTAATTAGCCATTCCATCACCAGTTGCGAAAAATTTTACTTTTCGTAACTGGTGATGCAAAGTAAGACATTTGATAACGTCAACGAGTTTTGAAAAGTGTCACTTTAAATGTCAAAATTAGAAAAACTGTATTTTTAACACTAAGTAACCTGATCAGAATAAGACACGACAAAGACAGACACCTAGAAGCCAGACAGGATGAAATTTTTCTCGAAAAATAATAAATATTATTTCAAGCAATGAAAGTAATTTTAACTGCCAACTGTGACGTTAGTGGCGTAGCTTAATAAGCAGCACGGGCTACTTTTCAAAGTAGCTAGTACTTATAGTTACATGGAAAAAAAAATACCAAGAGACACAACTACAATCTAGGTAACTACTTTCAAAAAAAGTATCTTAAATGGATTGTAAACTTAAAAAAAATTGCTAAGCTACTAGCTTAAATACGTGGTAGCTAGCTTCTTCCCAGCTAAAGCTGACTTGGATTAAGATTAGGAATTCAAAGAAAATGGTTAAAATATAGTTGCCCAATCATAAAATCTTCACACGTTGATAGACGAAATGCATATTGCATCTGAGCAAGATAAAATGGTCAAATAAGCATTTCCTTACTCCCCCACAACAGTGAACATTTTATCACTAATAGAACATTATCCTGCACAATAAAATATAAATATCCATCCTAAAACGCTAAAACTACCCCTATAACTTTCCTGAAACGGAACGTGCTATTGGCCACCCTTCGTTGTAAGGGTGGAGCTTGGAACGTTTAAAGGGCGGCGTTTTGACTTGCGAATAATGGGCAAAAGCCTTCTTAAACGGAGGGGTAAAACTCTCTCTTGCTGCGGTTTAGAACGCTTATTTCCCTTAACTTTCCGGATTTTCCCTGCCTGACGTTTTAGTTTAGTGTCAGCATCGCTATAATCTAGGGTGAAAATCTGGACTGGAAATTCATATACTCTGGTGATAGTGATAAAAAAAAAATAAGTAATTGTTTAAAAATGTTGTTAAGTGTTTAGTAGAGACGAATTAGAATTTGAAATAATGCAAGAAACTCATAAATCTTTCATGATTAAAGATTTGCTGGGGGACGTTTTGACTAATTCAGCGCAAGGTAAGTTTATGAGATTTGAGAAGTAACTGCTCATTTCTTGTGTTTTTTCCAACTTATGGTAGGTGAATGATTTTTTTTTAGGCTATGTTTTTTTTTTAAATCACCTGTTTAGGATTATGTGTAAGTTGAACTCACCAAAAATAAATTAAAATAAAACTTTTCCACTTGTAACCGTTAGAACCCAAGAAATTGTCCGAAGTTAGATTTATTTCATAATTTGATGGTTCTTTCATTTCACTACCTGTTCTTTCTGTCAAGTTTTATAGATATATGACTTATAATAATTATTCTAAGTACCTATATAACAAAATTATCATTGAAAAGTTCCTATGAACAAACTCACAAAACGTTTCATTGTACAACCTATATAAAACTAAATTGTTTTATAACGGGTTTGAATCAGATTTAGCCAAATTTTCAAATACCTTGTGCCTTTACAAAAAGAATTTAATTTTTAAAAGTAAATTGTCGTTTCAGTGATCGCTTTAATCTGAAACTAAGTAGGTACCTTTATAAAACAGTTATAAGTTAAAAAATAACATGTACGAAATAGTCAATTATTATGAATTTTAGTTGTATATTGCTTCTGAGAAATATCTTCAAAACCTGCCGAAATGTTTATAAAATAGTTTTGTAATGTTTGCGAAAGGTCGATTTTTTACCTCCCGAAGATAATGTGCGACTTGTTTACAACCAATTTCGAATGGTGATAATTTTAAGAATATAAAAATACTTGTTACATTAAATATATACGAAGCTTCTTCCCATTGCTTTTTATCTTTGCTTCTTTCCATAGAATTTTCAGTTTAATTACAACCTGAAAATCCTTTGTCTCCCGTCACAAACAAGAAAAACTAAAAACATAACGCTTAAAACGCCCAGAGGTGTTAATTAAAACAAGCCCATCTGTTACAAGACATCTCTAAAACAATGCCACATGTCCAATTAAAACAGTTGAATCATTTTTCTCGAGTAATTCGCTTTGTCTCTATTATTTTCTACCTTTATCCCTTGGAGGTTTTTTAACTTTTGTACCCAACAAGCGAAAAAATTCTTTTCAGATTTCGATTTGGAATCTGAACCATCTTCAAATGACGATCATTCCATCAGCATCCACGATTCCGGCTACTTACCGTTGCCGATCCAAGACGCCAACGAACAGTGCGATGCAGTCAAAAGCAGAAAGCCGCGCAGACGCAGGACTGCTTTCACGCACGCGCAATTGGCATTTTTGGAAAGAAAATTCAGGTAAGAATAAAATTGTTCGCATTTTTTTTAATTTTTAGAGGAACGATTTTGTTGCAGGTGTCAAAAATACCTTTCAGTAGCTGATAGAAGTGACGTAGCAGATGCTTTGAATCTAAGCGAAACCCAAGTGAAAACTTGGTACCAAAACAGAAGGTAATAATTCACCAATTTATAAGTCCATCTTGCAATTTGTATTGACTCAAACTGACTCGTTGACGCTCCGCTGCACGTTGCGATTACTGTATAAGACATATACAGTATGACGTTGCCAAATTCACGTTTTTCCTAATTTGGGAAAATTGTGCATAGCCTGGCAACACAACTCTATCTCCTTTTGAGTCTAAAATAGTTTCCCGACATTTGTTCTTTGGTTTTTTGTTTGACTTTGACGATAACGTAATATAGACATAATTAATTGGAAACTCTGCCTCTCCAGGTGAAGCGGAATGAATAATCTTTTGAATCCATATGAAAACTTATACCAGAGCGTGTTTATAATAGCTTTGTTCTTCATGCTCTTGTTTGTTTGCTTGCTTTTATCAAGTTTCAATATAAGTAATCTAAAGGTAGATAAATTCGCTGAGTTTTCCCAAGGAAAGGATCGTGTTGTTTAGGTATGTCTATAGCGACTATTCCAAGAATTTTATTGAAGTAATCAAAGCTTCTGGATAAATCCGGATAGTGAGTTTTTAGTCAGTCTAAATAAGATCTTTGTTCAGTCAGTTTTAATAAAAGTGATGTAGTTTCAAATAGGTTCGAGACTTGTTGCGTATACGTTTCGATAAATACCTACTGTTTGTTTCGCCAGGGTTTGTACTTGCACCAGCATTTACCTTCCTTGTTTAACAAATAAAAATTGACTGAAATAAATCACTGACGTCAAAAACGTTTGTCGGTTCTTAACCAAAAGTCATTCATTTTAATTTGTCAAAAAAATTGCATGTGTCATATGAATCGATCTACGACAACCCTTTTTTTTTAAGTTTCAAGGTCAAGTATGAACCCTGGTGAAACGGACCTTACCTGATGAATAAATGAGTGAGTGAATTTTTATAGTCAGTTTGTTCAATAAAAGTTTTTATTGTTTGCCGTGGAGAGAGTTATAGCAGTAAACCCGGAATCCGTGATAATATGTATGCCATGTTTAGACCTCCATTGCCAACGTGCAAAGTTTCGGTGATATCTTGCACATCCCAATGTCCGTCTCTTCTCCATTGGAATAGTATTGGTGTTCTTTTCTATTGTGACATTTCTGTACCCAGACAGCACACAGACATCTTAAAGATGTCCCTAAGATGTCCACAAACAACATCTTAAGGCAGTCTTAGAGACATCTTTAAGAGGTCGTATGTTAGAAATCCCAACGTTTTTCAGACGCCTGTCTAGAGAAGTCTTCAGGACTAATATTTCCTTATCATTACTCATTCTATAACTCTCAGTTTTTGTCTATTCCAGGCGCTGAGCTCTCTGAAATAATTCTGAGGTTTTCAAATTGTTCTGCAGCCTTTTAAAAATCTGCTGGAAAGTGTTTTCGAACGTTCTAAATGGCTCATTGAAGTTCTAAAGTGTTCCAATTTGGCTTGAAGAGTTCTGGAGCATTGTAGAAATTTTTGAGTAATTTCTAAATGGTTCTGAGAAATTTTTGACTATTTTAGAGCCCTATCGAAGCTCCAAAGTGTTCTATATTGATTCAAGAGTTCTTAAAGGTTTCCAGTTCTAAATTGAATCCTACTTGTTCTGAATTAAGTCTGAAGTTTCTAAATTGTTTCAAAATGCTCCTGAAATTCTGATTTGGATTTGAACTGCAAGCATCCAAAAGCTTAACATTAAAGGTTTATAGTGTGAGTGTATTTATTTTAGAGGCATGCAGAAGTAATAATTAAAATTTTTCATCAACCTTTAATTATTACGTCTGCATGCCACTAAAATAAACATACCATAAATTATATAACAGACGATAAAAACTTCTAAAAAATTAAAGGTTTAGTTCTACAGCAATTTAAATTCGCTCTTGAACGCCTTCTGAAAGACGTTCCGTAATTTTTAACCTGATTCCTAAGATTCTGGCGCTTTTTAAAATGTTTCTGGAGATTCTAGAGAGTATTTGATTGTTTTGGAGCGTCCTAAAATGGTTTCAAACTTCTGAATTGTTCGAAAATGCTTTTGAAAATTATAAATCGATTTTTGAATGTTTTGGGACATTATTATATTATATTATATTGGTTCTGAAGTTTCCAAAATGTTCTGGAGGTCTACACAATACTTTCGGAAATTTTGAATTCAATTTTTTAAGTGTTTTGAACTTTCCAAAAGGCTTATTAAAGTTCCAAACTGTTCTGTACCATTCTAAATGGTTTTCAATAACTTCCAAATTGAATTGAAACCAATCTGTGGGAAATTTTTGTAGACATCTTAAAGACGACCCTAAAATGTCGACAAACGACATTCAAGACGTCTTGTTTAAGTCTTTAAGGCGCCTTGAAGGCATTTTAAAGACGTCGTAAGAGGTCTTTAGGATATTTTTCTAAGATATTCCAAAAATGTCTTCAACGAGATGTCTCAAAGATGTCTTCGAATCTCTCTTCAATACAGAAAAAAATATTATTCACTTTTAGGCCCGGTTGCACCAAATAATTGTTTTTATAATGTGAATTTACGAAATCTTATGGACGACTTTTTTTGGTCTTCAGAATCAGACGTAATGCAGACCTGGAAAAAACGTCTTCAAGACTTCCTGTGCTGTCTGGGTCTGGGTAGATGTAGGTAATGAATAATTTGTCTGTATCATAATTCAGTTCCAGTTATATCTTCAATTTGTTGATACGATAACCTCTTTTTCTTCTTACGGATTTCAGCTGATATCTCGATCTCAAATTGCTTTATATCTGGTAATTCTGGTATAGGTAGGTATCTTATTCAGAGCCGATTTTTGCTTGTTATTGTTTTGCTCTGCACTCTAATATGTCAGTATAGAATTTTACTCATGTCCATCTCTTCTGTATCTTTACTTTTCATTCCCATGATTTTGTTGAACTCCAGTCTCCAGACTTGGTTTCTGATTATTCCAATGACATTGGATTATTGTCTTCTATCACTCTGTATATCATGGCTCCTTGTTTGTTTATGCCAACTTTCTGCTTCGAAATTTGTGTAGCAAAACGCCCCAAGTACTCTATGTAATTAGTAAGATGGTGAATGGCGAGCGGTATATTGATGGTGTTTATTTCCTTGAAGCTGCTACCTATAAAATTGTGGAAGGGTCTATTTGCAAGAGAGAGAAACAAACTATTGAGGTATACTAAATTATATTTTATTATATATAAGACCCAAAAATTTAAATCAGCAAAATATCTTCCAATTCTGACAGCCTCGTCTATTTTTCTAATTCAATTACTTCACATCCGTTCAAAATGTCATTATTACGGACCATTGAAATATCCCTACTAATAAAGAAACGCCCTATTCCTGATAACTTATAAGTTAACTCATTTCAACACTTTCGATTCATTCCTAATAAACTACCCTTCACTTAATTATATAAATTCTTTAAATTTCTAAGTCCTTTACTGACTGCTTATGAAAAACCCAAAATATTTACCTATTTGTTTATCAATATAGGTATTACTAACTTATTCTTACAAAACCTTACAATAATTTCTAATTGAAAAATAAAAACCCTAATTCAAAATTCATTTCATGAACAACAACTTTCCAATATTTTAAGAAAATTCTATTTCAAGAACATCAAGTTTCTTTTCAAAATTTCCTATTCCATTTAATAGTTTATTTAATCAGAACAAATTCTATTATAAGTTTTCTTTAACAACTTTCCAATATTTTAAGACAATTCTATCTCATGAACATCAAGTTTCTTTTCAAAATTTCCTATTCCATTTAGTTAGAACAATTACTATTTTTCGCCATCCTGGCTAACATACAATAGTTATTTGTGCAACCAGTTGGGAAAAGCACTATTTTTCGTAACGAACTGATTTCTGCGCAAAAGGAAGAGAGTTACGAAAAATAGTGTTTCCCAACGAGTTTCACACAATATTTTTTCTTATTTTGACCATGTGATCCTGTTTAATTCAAATTAAAAATATAAAAAACATACTTCGAATAATTATGTCTAATTGTCAAGCGTCAGGTGAGTCATAGAGGTGAGTTCAGAGATGTTTATTTGTTAAGTATTTTGTTTTTCGTTGCTACAGAAGCAATAGTGTCAAGTCTGTGTCTCTAATTTTTGAAAAAGTGAAAAATTTTAATTAATACTTATTGTTCTTATATAAACCACTCAAACTTTATAGAGTAAAAGAATAATTATTATTAGATTCTAATGTCTATCAATTCAAGAAGCGACGTACCGAGTGACATTGAGGAGTCGGCTCAATCTGCTTTATCTAAAATAAATTATTCCTAAAAAGTCAAAAAGCAAATATAATTTGGCCTTATGTCAAATTTAGTTCATGGTCAAATTAAATTTCCATATGTACCTACAAAGAATATAATAACAATACTTCAAGTAGTTTAGCGGTAAAATTATCACAAATTTTATTCCTGTATTTTTCGCAACTGATGGTGAAATTACCTTTTCATCACCAGTTGCGAAAAATTTTACTTTTCGTAACTGGTGATGAAAAGTAAGACATTTGATAACGTCAACGAGTTTTGAAAAGTGTCACTTTAAATGTCAAAATTAGAAAAAATTATTTAAATTCTTATTAGTTCGTTTCTATAGCCCTTAATCTTCAATTGGACAATCTAATTCAAAATTCTTTAATAATCCCTACTCAAATCGATACTTATTAGAGAATTATGGCACTTTCCAAATAGTGATCGATTTTATTACTGATCGGCCTTATTTAATTACTGACAGTCACTGTTTCTTATGAATAAAAAGAATTATGACACAACATGTTAAATTGGCACTATTTTGACCATTTTTTCGCGTCAGTCGCGTTGTTTACTCAACTGTAATGGAAGAAATGTTAGAAGCTGCCATTCTAGGGGGTGAAAATGATGTTTTTCGGTTTTATTCATCCACAAAACACAAACAAAAAATATAAACAAGTTATGTAAGGTTAGAATCTGAAATAGAGATGGGTCGCTATCGCGTAAGCTGCTATATTTTAGCAGTTATTTTGCTGAAGCAG